ATATATATATATATATATATATATATATATATATATATATATATATATATTAGTCCCTTAAATCCTTCAACAACCTGATGAAGTCTGTACCATTACCATCTCCATTGTTTAGATGAAGAAGCAGAGGTACAACGAGTGAAAGCAACTTGGCCCAGAAGTCAAGCTAGAATGCTCCAAGCCTGAGCTGTGCATTCTCTGCTCACTCTGCTGCCTCCCTAAATGAAGGTACAAGGTCACCCTCTAAAGCAAGACTACAGAGTCAGCACAGGTTCTGCAAAATTTCTCCAAAGAGGCAGAACTGCCATCTGGCCAAAGTAGGCCTTCCCCATAAACTCATTAGAGATATTGATGTAATAATCCCAATAGGGCAATTGGTCAACCATCAAACACAGAAAAATGAAGGTCCAAGGGACTAAACCCAACAATGAGTGTACAACCAAACCAGGTGAGAAGGGACCACCGGTCCCATGAAGAGCATTGGAAGAGGTGTGGCTGGCAATCCTACAGAAGAGCACAGGGCTCCAGTTACCTTAACTGAGGTGTGCATATTTCTTAAGATCAACCAAATCCCATGGATGTGATTTGATTCTACAAACCACTTATTGGTTTGCCTATGAGGAAGCCATGGCAATGTAACTGTTTTTGGCAACTTAATAAAGTAGGGTACTGACTTTTTCTTTCCCATGTGCTCTTCCCCTGAAGATCTGTACTCTCAGATAACATGAAAATCAGGTCTTCAGTGTGAAGGGTCAGATTTACATAATAACACAGAGTCTGTGAGAGCAGAGTCTGCTTCCCCAGTGCTTTTGCAGTCTTCTGGTCAACCTTGCCTAGAGAGAGGCCTGCACTCTAATGGACTTCTTTTGCAGCTTCAATGTGGACCAAAGTGTGGCCACAGCAGCAAGATCATTAATGTTGCACACTATTCTACATTAGAACATCATAAATCCTAAAATCTTTAGAGTGGACCATCCTCAAATTAGGGTTGGTGACAGTGCATCTACACATGAGTACGTGTGACTTCAAAGTCAAGCTGTAGGGAATAGAGAGAATAAACTGAAAATAGGATAGAATCGGGTCCCAACTAATGAGGTAACCTTAGACAAGTTATTTTAAGTAAGCGTTCTAAGGCTTGATTTCTTCAAATAAAGAATAGTAAACTGAATACTTACTTCACTTACTTATAGTTCCTTTATTAGGGACAAAATCTACAAGAAATTCTTTTATACAACAATACACTACATACTACACAATGTGAAGGAACGCCACTGTAAGTCTCGAGTATAGTTACAACTGTCATCCATGTAGCACTAACTACTCACCTGGTACCCTTCTAAGGATATCTTGTATCCTAGCTCATTTGATGTTCACAATACTGTAGTACCTTCTATGATGTGTTCCCTGAGAGCTGCCTTATTTCCCCAGCTATTCAAGACAATATGGGCAGTTAGTTCACTGCTCACAGGGAGTTTCTCTCCAGGAATTTCTTTCAGCCAAAGAGAAGTGTCTCATCTGAGATTATAAACCCTCTCTGGGAGTTGCCCACTTCCAGAGACTCGTTGGTGTTGGTGAGAGGGGACAAAACCTAGCTCCTCTTTTTGAGGTGGACTGAAGCTGCTAAAGCACCTGCCTCACAGCCTGGCTTCTCCTTCAACCCCATGGTGTACATCTACTCCTCACACTGCCATTCCTGAGAGCCTCTCAGCTAGCCCTCTACACAGATGCCTGTTTGGGGGAGCACTGGCCTGCAGCATTATCATCTTCATGCTCAAGAGGTGAATGTCTTCGAGGTCATGTCACTAGTCAACAGCACAGCTAAGATTTAGAACCAGACCATTTGGAAAATGTTATGATTGTAACATTCTGCACAGGAATTTCCCTAAGTGAATGGACCATCTGTGTCGGATGTGTCATTTGGTTAATGGGTGGGCTAAAATCTAAACCCTAGGATCTGGACATTGGTTGCTGCCACAACTTCAAAGGAAGAGAAGAGCTACTCTTAAAAAAAAATACAGGAAGACAAATTTGAATCTTGGAAATTAACCTAGGATGGAGGAATTAGGAACAAGAGAAAGTGGAGGAGGAGGTGAGACAATTTAACTGTGATTCTTCTCTGTGAGATTCCTCCTCCCAGATACCTTCAGGAAAATCGACCTAATTTCAGAAATACTTGGCATTGTGTTGATTTGTTAGGGTTGCCACAACAAAGTGCCTCAAATGGGGTGGTTTAAAAGATAGAAATTTATTACCACAGTTCTGAAAGCTAGAAATCCATGATCACTGTGTGGTGGGGATGGGCTCTTCTGAGGGTACTGAAGGAAAGATCTCTTCCAGCTTCTGATAGTTTTCTGGCCCTGTATGGCATTCTTTGATATGTGTAGAAACATCACTTTCATGTGGCTTTTAATGCTCACATAGTGTTCTCCCTGCATCTGTCCAAATTTCTCCTTTTATTTAGGACAATATTCATAATGGCTAAAGCCCCATCCTATCCCAGTATGGCCTCATCTTAACTGTTTACATATGAAACAACCCTACTGCCCAGGAAGGTTGCAATCTGAGGTACTGGAAGTTAAGAGCTCACCAAATGAACGTCTGTGTACGCCCATCAATCCATAACTAGTTTGGGTCGGATTTCTCTCAGAAACTTACAAAGGGGTTGAGCTCTATGTTTGAGTTGATGTGGAGCACAGATCATTTATTGACCATCACACGTGGCCAACAGGACAGTGAGAAGAAATTCTGGAGCAGCCCAGCACTTTTTCAAATTGAGGAATTGAGGTTAGAGCCAAGCCCACCCACCTCTCAAAGGGAGGCAGATCCAATTAAAATCTTGATGACAGCGTCTTTAAGTAAACTCAAGCGCTGCTGTCAGTTGCCTCCCTGCTATGACCCTAAGACCCTGTAGAACTGATTCTATTCTCCCAACTTCCCTCTTCCCCAGAAAAGATAATCCACTCCTATAAATCTTTAAATCCATTAAGAGGAAATATTTCTTCCATTTCTTTTATGTTCTTTAATATGTCCAGTACACAAAGAAATATCCTGCTGGACATTGATTACTAGAAAATGTGTTGAAGAGACTCGCAGTACCTAGACTGCCTGTAAACACAACTCTGAATGATGGGGCACTGCTGTGGCTAGATTGATGCATATCATTTCTCTTGACATCTAACTTAAAGATTGGCTGGGAGTACAAGAAATATAATGTTGTCTAGCACAGAAATTTTCCACTCAAATATCCTCAGCTAAAAATCCAGCTCTGTCATTTACTAACTATTGGGCTTTCAGAAATCTGTTTTATCTTTCTGTGCCTCAATTCTCACATCTATAAAATGTGGATAGTAATAGATTCCATCTTAATGAGGTGTTGCAAGAGATAAATGAGTTAATCCAAATAAAAAACTTAGAACGTTGGCTCTCATGTAGCAAATTCTCTATAAATGGTGGCTGTTACAAATATGGTCACAATAGCAACTGTCTTTCATGTGTCAAAATATGATGCAACCAGAAGTTATAAGAAATAATTAAATTAATTCGAGCTCTTAAAATTAAGTACAGCAGAGAAAACATTCTACATACAACACTCATTCTCTTAGGAAAAACTAAAATCAATGTTCAAGGGGCAGAAAGTATTCACCAGGTACTTAGCCAATGGTATATATTTCAGAAACTCCCTGTACTCTGCACCTATATCATCATCAACCAAGGAAGTACATCATCATAAATATTAACTATTGGCTCAAACCTCTGATTTAAATCTGTTTTTAGTCCATTAACATTATCAAATAAATAATCCAGAGATTTAAGAATATATATATTAAGCCAAGATACAAACTCATAGTGCCCATTATCTTTTTCTTCTTTTAAGAATGTATTTGGGAGGAAAAAAAGGTCATTTTATAAGCAATAGCTATTATGAAAAGAATTGGGATAAATGAAAAAAACTGTAATGCTAGATTAGGTTTATACTAGGTAATAAAAGCCAAGGATCTGAGTTATTTAGCAAGTCTGACTCTTTTAAAGGAAACTCTAGTAGGATGTTGTTCATATCTTAGCAAAACCTGTCTATGGTCTCAGCTTTATAAATCTGACCATTTAGAAGACAGCAGAGGTTCTTCATGGGCAAAATAAGAAAATAAAAATTTGATTTTCAGGGCATCATTGGAGATGATTTATCCAAAAGCAACTTGAAAACTGTGAAATATATACACATATATATTATATATAGTTGGTATTGTTAGACTTATAAAGGGAATTACAACTTCTCAGACACTAGATGTAAAAAAATAGAACAAATTGAATATGACATTTTGAAGCAGCAACATTGGTATATCACTTTGGATTTTTAAGGGAATTTTTATATTTACTACATCTGTTCATTTTCATGAACACCTTTGGAGGAAGGTAAGTAGCTATAATTATATCTGTTTACCAAGAATAAGACTGAATCTCAAGGTAATATACATATAGATCAAAATCAAAATTAGAACATTCTTTTTCTTTTCTGGTGTCAGACCTTGGTCCTGTCTTCTATGCTTTTTTAACAAAAGAAATATATATGTGTATTACCTTTATCTTTAATCATCAAACTTAGAATTCACCTCCTTCATTGAGCATCTCTTTTTGTTACCTGCAAAAAAAAAAAAATGTCAAAATTATAGAAGTAGCAAAGCCTATGCCACTCCACATTATCTTGCCTCTGTCTTCCAAGGAGAACCCAGACTAGATCCATTTATTTAAGTTACAGCTCTTTGTTCTTTGTTCAGAAGGCTACTTTATCGCTTGGTTGTGCTGCATAACAAAGAAGCCCAAAGGATAATGCTTTAATAATCACTTATTGCTCACAATAATAATCACTTATGCTGCTCACAAGTGTAGGGGGTCACCTGGGCAGTTAAGACTGCAGTTGAGTTTTCTTGTGGTACTATAGTCGGTTGTGAGTAGGGTGAGAAATTCTGTCTGCTACTTTGGGTTGGGCATATATTTGCCTTCCTGGAATCACACCAGACACAAGGGACTCAGAGCCCTTACTTTTGTCCCTGTCCTCCTTGCTCCTTCTGTACCCCCTCTTTGCCCTTTGCTTTCTCAGCCACCTTCCACTCCCCATCTGAATGATGCCATGACTAGGATTTCATTTCTGAAGTTGCAGTTTAAGAACAAAATGTCTTATTCATTTGAAATTCCTGTTTCAGAATAATGATTTCAAATGTTAGAAAAAAATTGAGTTGGCTCTCTTCCAAAGAAGTTCACATTAAAATATCAGCATGACCCTAAAGAAGTTTAAAGCACTCAATACTTTAGCGGGAATTCCATATGAACATAGTATTGGTTAATCACGCATTTAGTTTTCATTATCTCCTAAAGCAGTCTTTTTTCCAAGAAGACAAGAAGGTTAGAAAGCTGAGATACTGAAATAAAAATACAAAGAGATCATACTTTTTCTGAAATATCTAGAGCCATCCTATTTATAGTGAAATATTTTTTTCATTCAGGAAAAAAGAAAAGGATTTCAGTAGCAACAGGTTTATTTCATTCAAGAACTTAATGTGAGCCAGAGACAGTGAAACAAAAATCCAGTAAATTAACTATTTTCTGAGGCATAAGGCAGGATGGTGTCTTTACATTAAGCAATTGGATCGCAAGTCATAGTTATAAGATACTACTCAATCCTCTAGGTTTATGTGCATGGCATTTTAGATTCAAGTGCTTGAAAATATTACATCTTTTTTTTTAATTCCCTTGTAGTTCTGAAAAGTTTTGAACTTATTTAATTCTTCTTGTCTTCTCCCTCTTTAAAGATGTTCTACGTTTTCTCTTTTCAAAATCAAGACTGCTTGAACTTTAGCTGAGATTAATGAAATTTCAATCTTGCCCACAATGGTGACTACATCCTCTTTCTGTTCTCTTGGTATAGTAAGAATAGCAACCACCCAGCATGAACAATAGGACTCCTTTTCAATTCTGCGGGTTGGCTGTTGCTGAATGGCCATGCATAGATATAATCCTTGGCAATCCCATGGGTGGTATTTCTCATTCCTTATCATCCATGCTGCACACAGGCAGAACTTGATAAGACACCCAGAAAGAAGATAATGGCTGCTATCAAGCTGTCTAGGTAGAAATAATAATAATAATCTGTTTATGGGAAAGCAGCTGTCCTATTGTTGTGAATTTCATGAAATCCTAGAGTCGGATTCTCTCTCCCTTGCCAGCCCATCCCCACTCCTCATGCCAATCCAATCACTTTGGGGCTTTAATGATGGGCATTTTTTTCATGATCTTTTGATATGATAGATAAGGATGCATGGAAATATCCCATAATCATATTCAGCCATAGAATATACTTAAAAGACTAGACAAGAGATGCTTTATAGAAAGATCAGGAGGTTGGAAGACTTTGAAATGAACACAAGGAAGTCCACTCTTTCCTTTTAAAATATGCACAAAATCCAAAAGTAAAACAGAGAAACAGTCCAGTATTTGCTGCAGTCGGAAATCTGAACCTGCAACATTTCATAGGTAGGTTTTAATATCTCAGAGTGAAACTCTAAAGAATTGTGATGTGATTTTGTCAGCCGTAGGGATCCCACCGGTGTGTGCTGCTTTTCATTTGTCCTGAACAGAACAGCAAAAGGCTCGGAAGCAAGCTGGCAGCCACTTCGTTATTCTCCTTTCTTTAAGCCACATTGCTCTCCTGGCTGGGGGAAAAATAAGTCTCCCTGGGCCAAATACGTGGTGATCTTGCTTCCCAGTGTTGAGAAAGAGCATTCCCTTCAACAGAGGGGTGCAAAGACACTCCTTTCCTCACCTGTCCACCTGTTTCCAGGGAAAGAACTAGGTAGCCATTCCCTTCAGGGGAAACAAACAGTCGAAGAGAACCAAACAGAAATCAGATCCTTAGTCCCTCCTGAAACGTTAAAACACAGGCAAAAGTTTGCATTTTCCTTTCCAGGGAGAGGAGAGATCTTTCATGCCAGAAATAACCCATAAATGTTCTGTCACTGTCATGAGCGATGCCTGTGCTATGGCTTCCGGAGAGGTTCTCCACACTTCTCCCTGACACAACTGCCTGCGCTGTCCCCAGGTGTGCCTTTTAGTGAGGTGTGGCAGAAGCCAAAGGGGAGGAAAGAGAAGGTCAGGGCAAGGTAAATGGGCACATGACCTGGAAGAATGTCCACTGGTGAGCTCCCCATCTCGTGCAATAAAATCACTCTGTAAGCTCAAAGTTCTCTGCCCACAGTGAGTCTCACACCCTCTCTGCACAACAATGTCACTCCCAGCTGAGCGATGTCCCTTTCTCTCTCTGCGAGCCAACGAATCCTACCTCTGACACTGACTACCTGTGTGCCTTTAAGTTTTCTAGGACTCGGTTTACTAATATGTAAGATGAGCCTATTTCACAAAGTTTTTTTTTAAAACTAAGTGAATTAAAATACGTGAATGTAAAATGTTTACCATAATGCTGACAGGCAGTAAGTTCTGGATAAATATGGTAGTCATTATCATTAACTTGGTATCACCAGCCACTTCACAGTAGCTATCAATAAATATAATCCAAAGAGGAAAGTGAAAGAACAGATGAAATACACACATGGATATAGAATATGTAAGCTCACACTGTAAATGCGCACACACACACACACACACACACATTCTGTCGTCCTCCCACTGTAAGCTGCACTTCTCTCTGCCCAGCTCAGATCTCAGAATGGGATTCTCCTGTCCACTGACCTACAGGGCTGTGTGAGAGTGGGGAAGACACTGATTAGTGTTCAGGAATTCTTCTTTCCGGCAGCGTTACTGGAGATGGCAGCCTCATGGAACCCACAGGCTTTCCTCTGACAGAATCTGACACCAGCTTGACATGAAGACACCACCACACGTGGGGCACGAGCAATATGCCCCTCACCACAAGTCAGGCCCAAGGAGGGACAGAGTCGTGTTCTGTCCACTGGTCAGCAGGAGACACGGCAGAATTCAGCAAAGAGGAGATATGGCCCTTGACGTGCACTTCCTCCTCCCAGTGGACTTGTTTTGCGGGTCTCTATAAATCACAAACGACCGCAGAATTCTGGAAATATCTGGATTCAGACTTGGCATCTCTTCCATAGGACATCAAAGGGGTTAATGTCTGGCCAGTAATCAAAATCTGGCAGCTCCTACTGCACACATAATAGGCATTGTTGTTCTTGAGAGTTTGTCTGTTTTTTCTGGCAGGCTTGAGTGTTTGGAACCAATTCTGAAACAGAAAAAAAAAAAAAAAATCAGTCTGCTGCTTTTTTTTTGCTTTTTTTTCTTTCTTTTTTTTAAACATGCATATGCAACAAAACATAAGGCTGGTTTTAGAATGGTTGTTTTGTTAAATTTCCAAGAAAGTTGGTGGCTTACTATTGAGAGAAGATGATTTATCACCTTAAAACACATCTACTTCAAAAGAAAATGAATTTATATATGTGCATGAGACAGGCACCATATAGTATGGTGGTTACGTTCTCTCAGATATGAAGCAACACATTACAACTGTATTAGCTGATCAGTGAACTGTAGCTCTTCCATTCATCTGCATAGAAAATCCATTTGCATGACGTTATTGATGTGCTTGCTCATCAACCTTCCCAGGTCACTTGCAATCTCAGGACATGCTTGGCACTCCCACCTGATGGGCCCCCAGATGTTGCCATCTGAAACAACATGAATACGTCTTACTAAGTTACGGATACAACAAAATCCCACCACAAAACCCCAGATTCCTTGCCAGTGGGAGAGGTGAGGTTTTATTCCCCCTTCCAATCTCTCATACTCCAACACTTTTGTGTAAACCACAATGGTGCACTTTGTTTTTGATGGCAAATGGCTATGGAATTTCTAAATGCTGATTCTGACTTTCTGTTCTTACCTTGTTGCGGATCTTAAGCGGTCCGTGGATCAAACTGGTTCATGGAGGACCGTCCTGGACCATGGACTTAGTTGTGTTGGAGACCAATATTCCAAAGGAGGGTACATGAATTTTTTTCTCTAAAGAACCACAAAGTACATATTTTAGGCTTTTCAACCCATATAGTCTCTTGTATCTACTCAATTAACTGTTGTAATATGAAAGGAGCTACAGTAAGTCCCAACTTAGGAATATTTGAGCTGCGAGTTTGCACAGATGCAAACAGACCTCACATTAGGAACATTCATGGGTGCAAACAAATCCTGGCAGTATCTCACCGCTGGACATTGTCACAGTGGTGCCGCTGTGTGCTTACTGTAAGTGCGGTAGTGTAAAATAGTACAGTAGTTGGGGACTTACCATATTTGTGTGTGTGCAGTTGGGTTTTTTATGTTTTATATTGTATGTCTGTGTCAAAGGTGTATAAGACTCACTTTGTCTGACTTACAAATGAATTCGACTTATGAGCATCCTCCTGGAACACAACTGGTTTTAAATCAGGGACTTACTATACAATGAAATGAATGAGCTGTGTTCAATAAAACTTTGTTAAAAGCAAGCCACAGGCCTATGGACAATGGATAGTCAATGATGATGATAGCTTTTGCTGACAAACTACCATGTATCAGGCCCTTCTGATTGTCCCATTATACCATAGGTTAGGTGACACTGCTTTCTTTTTACAGGTAATGAAAATGTGAAAACAAAAAAATTAGGAATCATTTTGATATATTCTGAAAATTGATGGATGCTCTAGGATACAAACCACAGTCTCTGAGCCTGTAATATACCACATACAGAACTTTTTCATTTCGGTCCCGAGACAAAGTCATTAAATGAATTGGTCACTGAATGAGGAATTCTATATTGTGTGTACATTACAATATTCAGAATGAAGTAATGGTCAAAGGAAACTCCAATGTGATCACTTTGCTTTTATTTCCATAACTCTTATATGCACTACAGTGTATATAACAGAACACAAAACCACAGTACTATACAGTACAATCACCAAAAATTATAGTACTATATGAAAAAGACATTGATGTTCTCTAAACAAGATGTACAGAACTGTACAAAAAAAGATGGGTCATAAGTCCAAGCAGTGAGTTGTAAATCCAAACTGTCATTAAACAGGTAGCTCTTTAAATGAGGAATATATATGTAATATATGTATATTATATATATATATAAAATGAATGAGATGTCTTTTTAACTATGAATGAAAAACTTACAATTTAATACCTTATAGGTCATCTTGTTTCCCTTTCTATCTCTCCATCCAACATCCTCCTCAGAAGTACCAAAGTCTTACTGACCAATCATGCCATGGGCTCCATATACAGTCAAGGCCAGACCTGGATACAGTCTATACCAAACACACTCATCCGAACATTTGCATGTTCAGCAAATATGTGTTGGTTGTCTACTGTGTATCAGGCACTGGGGTAATAAATGGGACTACTGTAGTAAACAAAATACACAAAATCCTGTCTTCCATTAAGTAAAACAGCAGGTTACAAAATAGTATATATGGTATTGCCAACTTTTTTATTTTCAAAAATGCATTAATGTATAGAGAAATCAAGAAATTGTCTAGAAAGGTGTTTACTTAACTATTTTAATCTGTTGCTGGCAGTGAGATACTAAGCATATTTTTTATTTAGGAGTGTTTTTGATTTGTGCTTCTATAAAATATTTCTAAGTACAAGAATTTAAATGCTATAAGTATGTGAAGTGGTGAATATATTCATTAGCTTGATTATAGTAATCATTTCACAACGTATATGTATCTCAGAACATGATGTACATCTTAAGTATATATGATTTTTTTGTCAATTACAATCAAAAAGGGAAAAATTTTATATTGTAGTATGGAAAGATAGATAATAAACAAAAAAAATACGTTCGGTGTGGGAGTTGTTGGAAGAAAAATAAAATAATAAGATAACCTAAAGTAACAAGGGAATGCTTCTTTTTTAATCCAACTCTTTTATTTCTTCCTTACCAATTAAATTGTGTAAACCTTGAAAAAAATCTATACTCTCAAATGTATCTACTAGATAAAAATACATTTATAGAATATTTTTATGTCCCATGGTACCAATCATACCCAAAGAGTCCTGTAGGGAAAGATACTGAGGAACTATAGATACCACTCGTACCGGAAAAGACGTTGAGGGAGAAACTAATTCATTCGCTTATCCTGCAAATATTTAGTGTCCACTTCATGCCGGGCACTCTTTTTAGAACAAGTAATCCAACAGCAAACAGGAAGATATTAACTCTCGTGGAGTTCCCGTTATGGCCATTACAATCTAAGCAGTTGGAGAATAAACCAAAAAAAAAAGTACTAAACTATGTTCAAAGGTGTTAACTCCGATGGAGAAGAGACAAGACACTATGGGATAAGGAGATGGGAGTGTACAGGAGAGGGCAGGGCGAACCTTAAAATACCCAAGGGGCGTTTTCTTCACCGCCCAGCTGGCAGCTCCAACACCAACTCTCTCAACACCCAGCCCTGCTTTTTAGTTCACTCACGGCGACAAGCAGCACGTTATCCATGAAAAGGAAGCACAGGATGTTTTGTGTTGAGTGTTCTATTTAAGTCCATAGAAAGAAATGTTATTCTTTCAAAGTCATTTTTGCCCTTCCCTTTCCCTTGCTGGAGAGAAAATATTGAGGATCTGGCAGCTGAAACAATGTCGGGATGGGAGAGGGGAAAGGCAGGAAACTCGGGGCCAGTCTTCCCGCCATGACTGTTTTAACAAGGATGTAGCTGTGGCCCTGTCCTCTGGGGTCCCAGCACAGTGACAGCCAGAGGCAGAGCCTGCAGCCACCGGACCTGTGGACTCCGAGCCGTTCTCCTTAAGCGTGAAGGTTGCTTTTTTCAAATAGTAATGAGATGCTAAGATAGATTTGAATTTTAATCAGATTCAACACGGGAAACAAGTGTTTTTCTTCAAATGTGAAATATTTCTAGGCTTTTAAAAGTGTTATCCACATAAAGACTAACTACTGTTTTACATATCAAAACTGCCATTCTTCATTGGTATTTCAGGAAAAAAAATGTGATGATTCAATGAAACATTACTGTGAAGATTTCTTATTTTCCTATGAACTTTAATTGTTTCTCAGGGTATTTTTTTATCACTTTTTACAAACTAAAATATGTTTATAAGCTTAAGACAAAAACTAAGGGATTTCGGTTACTGTACCATGAAAACAGACATAACCAAAATCTATTTCTTGGTAATAACACTTTTAAGAGATTGCAACCAGTTCTTCAAATATTATGTGGCCTTAATGCTAGGAATACCAATACCAGTAATTCTCCCCCAAACCAAAAGGGGTTCAAAGTCAGTCCCATTTGCCTGGAAAGGATGTAGTCAGTAGCTATCCTACCAGCAGTAAAAACACTTACCTCACCTGTATTATGGTAACACTATTCTATACCAAGAATTTTTCTAAGTGCTTTTACAAAATACACTTTAGCAAACCCTTACCACATGACAGACAGAGAGGTTGTTCCCATTTTGCAGATGAGAAGAATGCACTCAGCAATGTGAAGTAACTCACCCAAGGGTATACAGCAAGTAAGGCTGATTCTAGTCCGTATGGCCCTGATTCTAAAATCAGCACTCTTACCTGTACTTTCTGTCTTATTTTTTTCCTACATTCCTCTTTCTCCCATAATCCTTTTAAGAGGTATGTACTTCTTTTATAATTAAAAAAAATATGTTTGGAATAGAACTCTATGTATTTATTAGTCTTAAATTGATTCATAAAACAATTTCTTCTGCAAACTTCAGAAGAGAATAAATCCCTCTGGGATGCTGTGGGGCAGGCTGGGTCCTGGGACTCTCTGCTACTTCTGTGGGATGAATCAAGCTGTTTTCTATATGTCATGTCTATCCAGCAATCCATGGGTCAAACAGCAGATAGAAACTCGACCCCATCTTCAATCCACTTCCTTCTCTCCTCCATGAGAATTCTCTGAAGGCCGCTAAAAAAATCAAAAGAACAGAGTCAGAGCCAGCACTTGGTGGAAACTAGGAGACAAGGGAAGCTCCCTTGTTCAACTGTGACTTTAGTTTTCCTTAGAGAAAATAGAGCCAAAAGGCCTTGAGTGTCCATGCTTGGGGGATGACCTTGTCCTGTAAGCTTGATATTTTTCATCTGTGCATATATTTGGATCTGTAAGTGTATGTTTATAACAGATAATCCTATTATAGAGCATCCAGAGTAATGAGACAAATATATTGGAGGGAGGAACAATTATTTACTCTATTAAAAGGATATTTCACATGAAAATATAAATCTCTACTGCATTAATTTGCAATAAATTCCCTTAAATGTGAGATGTCAATTTTTCCATTTAACCCAGAGGGGCAGACAGACTGGGAAACCAAGCAGGCCATGGCAGAGGGGGAAATGCAGACAATGAAGAGGTAAGGGTAGCCCAACACATATTCTAAGAGCTCCCCTCAAATCCACCGGCCCCAAACCTCTTAAAAGGATGTCCATTTGTAAAAGTTAAATCTGTTCATTTTAAATGATAATACTACCTACAGAAAGCTCTTCCTAGCTACTAAGCTTGAACATTTTTATCAGTCAAAGAGAATGTGGTCCCATGGATGTCAAGTTTGATATGCATCAGAAGCACATGGAGTGGTTTTCAACTGACTTAATTTGGACATCACAGCTAAAAATTCTGATTCTGTGGACTTAGGGGAATCTAGGCATAGGAAATTGACGAAGTCCACCTCCGATCCCCCCAGTTAACACACAAATTGTGAAATTCACCTAATTTGAAAATCCCTGAGCTAGTTAATAGGAAGCAGTAGACATTTCTTTCAACTTGAGAGAAATAAGGAAATTACTTTACAGGACAGCTGTGAGGTAAGAAATAATTCCAGACTTTTTCAAGCTGTTAATTGAAAAGACATATCCATCCTTTGTAAAGACAAACTGAAGGCTGCAGCTCTTTCATATAAGGTATTCCTAAGTGCTTGTAAACCAATGTCCTCATATTGCTCCATTAGCCCATTTTATGTTGCTTTAAAAAAAAAAATACCTGAGGTTGGGTACTTTATGAGGAGAAGGGGTTTATTTAGCTCACAGTTTTGGGGGCTGAAGGTTGAAGATCCAGTCACTCCCACAGTCACCCTGCTGTAAGAGTGTCACAGCGGATGGCACCACAATGGCAGGAGTGTGCCTGAAAGAGATCACAGGGTGAAACAGGAAGCCAGAGCCACTCAGAGGGCGGGCTTGCTCTTTTTATAGGACTCACTCTTGCAAAAGCACCACTAACCCCTTACAAGTACAGTGTCCTAGTTGACCTAATTATCTTGCACTGGGCCCTACCTTTAAAAGATTTCCACCACTTTAGGGCTGCCACACTGGAGATCAAGCCTCCAATACACAAAACTTTGGGATGACACAGTTAAGCCACATCCAAACTGCTATACCAAAATACTACAGAGTAGGTGGTAACTTAAACAACTGATGTTTATTTCTCACCGTACTTGAGGATGGGAAGTTTTAGATCAAGTTGCTGGTCATTTCAATTCCTGAATGAAGGATCTTTTTCTGACTGCAAATAGCTGCTTTCTCACTGTGTCAGAGAGAGAGAGAGAGAGAGCACACTTTTTTGGGTTTTTTTCCTCTTTTGATAAGAACACTAATCCTATCATGAGGCTTCTCATGGCTTCAAATAAATCTAATTACCACCCATTATGGTTGATATCTAGATATTTCCCCAAAGCCTCACGTGACCATAGGTGGGGCTTTTGGGGGTGACTGGATCATGGGTGTGTGATGCTCATCACTGGATCCATCCACCGATGTGTTTTATAGCTGGGTATGATGTTGGGAGGTGAAACCCGGAGGGAAGAGGTGGGTCACTGGGGGCGTGGCCACAAGGGTATAATCCTGCCTCCTTCCTTGACCCCTTGCTGCTTCTGGCCTCCCACACCATGAACTGCTTCTCCCCTGTGTTGCCCCTCTGCCACACCATCCTGCCTAGGAACCACCCAAATATAGACTGAAACCTCTACAAACTCTACAAACTACGAGCCAAAATAAACCTTTCCTCCTTTAATTTGTGGGTATCAGGTATTTTGTCCCAGCAACAAGAAAGTAACTAAGACAACTCCCCAAGTCTCTACTTCCTATTACCATTACACTTGGAGATAAAGTGTCAACATATGAAGAATTTTGGAGATACACAAACATTCAGTCTGTAACATGTTCAATTCTTCAGAGAAGAGGCCATGAGCACCAGCCTGTGTCAGGCTATTGTTCCCCTCAGATAGATCCCTCCAACTTAGTTGAGTAAATGTGAGTCAATCTTCTTTTCAAAAACAAAATAGTTGCTGATATTATTTTCTACTTCCCAGTAGTCAAGAATTTGTAGGAATCAAAAAACTACTGAAGAACAAATTATAAGCATTTAGCATCCAATTTACTAACTACTTGACAATCGCTTGATTAGTGCCATTAATTTACCTGTTCGAGGTGAAACAGGAAAGAATGAAGTTATCTTTCCACATCTTGTTCTGTGACTGTATCCATGAATTATCAGTCTACTTCATATAACTACTGTCTTGTGGAAGTTATGTAACTTTTCCTATTTCAATTTTTTCTTTCAATTCAGACAGACTACAATTCATATTTTATAAAAGTACTATGCAGTCTAGTAACTTTGAGATATTTATATTTAGACATACCAAGGATGGGACAGATTTTTCTCCTTCTATATTTCTGTTCCATTAAAAGGCTGATGAACCAGTGTACGTTCCATCATTTCATTATCTGCTTGCTCCCTTCCAGCTACCACTGTCAAGATTTTGAGCATAGACATGCTATCAGATCTGTACTCCTGAAAATAAGGAGTTTGTTCAGTGAATAGCAGTTACATTCTAATTATATTAATTCAGACTGCAATTTCATTGAAATATAAAGAACCTGCTGTCGGGGTGGTGTGGACAATGGAGGCTGAACATGTCAACGACATGACAAATTCCTCGAGCAGAGTGCCAGATGTATTGTTGCCCGGGAATTCTTTGCTGAGAGCAAATTCAGTGAGCACTATCAGTGTCAACTGGAATAAGGAATTGGTTCACTTGTTATCTTTCCAAGTTGCAGGTACATCTGCCAGAAGAGTCTGCCAACAGATGAATTGGTAATTAAAATCATTTCCGTCTTTGGAAGGAGTGATTCAGAAATTGTCCCTCTTTTATTTCTTTCTTTCCCTGTGTAGGAGAAAGAATACTTGGGTGAATATTGATGAGAATTTTACATGGGTGATACCAGAATTGTGTGAGTTACTAAAGCCTTGCTATTCATATTAGTATTTGATCACTTTTACTGGGATATTTTCTTTCAGCTCTCCATATAGACTTTTAAAGCTCTGTGTTTTTCCTAAGGCTTTATCTTCCTTTGTGTTGTAGAAGTTATTTGCCACAAAACCTAATATGGGTTAAATTCACCTAACAATATTGTATTCCTTCCCTCTGCCAACTAATGTGCTAGAATACATAATGAATAATGATGATCAATTATCCTGGGTTTCTTTTGCTTTAGATAACCAAATAGTAATACAGGGGAAAGTTTCTCCATATAGAAATATCCCAGTCAAAAAGTGAAAAAGAAATGATTAGCAGATATGTGTCTTTCAATATTTTCAAAACTTACAGAATATACAACGCCAAGAGTGAACCCTAATGAAAAGACAGACCTTGGGTGATCATGACACATCAATGAGGGTTCATCCATTGTAGTCCATAAATGTATGACCCAGTGAGGGACATTGGTAATGGAGAAAGACATGCTCGTGTGGGGATATGGCATATTTAGAAATTTCAGGTACTTTCTACTCAATTTTGCTGTGAACCTAAAGTTGCTCTAAAATATGAAGTTTGTTTTATAAAAAAGCATAATGTTAAGATATTCTCTTTTTTAAAAACAAATGAATTAATGGGCTTAGGTGAAAATCCTTAATAGCTGGTAACATCACACACACACACACACACACACACACACACACACACTTCCACTTCTGGAAATATCATTACTTACACATCGCTACTTAAGTAATAATGCCAAAAACATGAAACCAAAACCTGATAAGATCTCCAGCTCTATGAATTTCCAGGAAGTACAAAGGACAAGATGATAAATATGTTAAGATCTCCTTAGAGAATATTGTCAAGAAAATACACACAGTTAAACAATGTTCAGAGAAAACAATCCAATCTCTGCAACCAAAAATTCCAAGAAAAAAAATAGAAGATGAAGATTAAGAGAAGCCTTAGAAACACATCAAGTCATCACCCTCTACAGTTGAGATCTAGGTTCATCTTTTTAAACAATAGATTGTAGGGCAACTGGGGATATGGGCAAACTGCGTATTTCTTGGTGAGAAGAATTATTGGCAATGTATTGAGGTGTGATAAAGGTGCTGTGGTTATTTTATGTGAAATAATTACTATCTCTTAGACATATTGAAATATATGCAGTAAAAACAAGGAAGTTGGAGTTTGCTTCAAAATAAATGGAGGCAGGGCTGGGGATTTAGCTCAGTGGTTCCAGTGCCTGGCTCACAAGACCAAGGTCCCAAGTTTGATCCCCAGTATGAAAAAATAAAATAAAATAAAAAAATAAAAATAAATAAATGGAGATAGCAGATGAACAAGATTGACCTGAGTGGGTGCAGCACTTATGCGCAGTGGTTCATCACACCATTTATTTTCCTTTTTATATATTTGAAATGTTGTAAAATAAAAGTTTATATAATACAGAAATTTATTTAATCTCCCCAAGCCACAGTTTCCATATTTATAAAACAAAAGTAGTAATATCTATAATAGGGATAATACTGCTTTTTAGGTTTTTCTGGAAATTTAGTGTACTTAAAAGCAGCTGACACATAACAGATATTAGGTAAAGTTTTAGGGATAAGTTTGATCCATTTGTCACTGAACTGATCAGTCTGGTGTTAGTGGTGATTTTATAGCATTCCTGGAAACTAGCAAAGCTGGGGAGGGAGGGAAAACCAACAGAAGTGTCTAAATCCTCAGGTGCCACCTATTCAGGCACATAAGATGCTGATTGAGATTTTTTTTCAAGCTTGAGTTGTTATTTTTAGATTTGCTGCTCCTGGAAAAAAATATATATATGTGTGTGAACCCTGGTTTTATTAACTATTTATTTATTCAATTCCAGGCAACTCCAGTTGGAGGAAGAAAAAAAGCAAATATATTATATCTCTAAAAGCCATTTACTCTGGCTCCAGCCTCACTTCCATTTTCTTCTGTGATATATCAAAAATACCAGGTTACCTTCAAAACTAAACAGTTCTAAACCTACCAGTTTCCTCAATTCATTCCAATATCCTAACCAATCTCTCTCAGCTTTGCATCCTTATCCTATTTACTACCCTCACAAAATCCTGTTTACAAAAAAACTAAGGTTTAAAGGGGGAAAAAAATTAAAAAGTGAAGCACAGCCAGAAAAGCTTAGACTCTGTCTCAGCTTGCTCTCAGGGATGATAAGGCCTGACCAAGTAGGCATTCTTCCGGCTGCTTATGCAATGGCTGAGTTTGTTTGGATTCTGCTGCAGACTGCAGGCATGAGTGTGGGACCTGTGTCCTTTCCAGTTCGCGCCTGCATGTCCATTCATCTTATTTCTAATAAAGCCAATTCTTATTTTTCTAACTTGCTTCCAATTCTCAAATGCAGCTCCAAAGAAAACAGAAAGTAATTAAAATGTCAGCACTTCCCGGAGAAAGAACATTAAACTCTCTTTGGATTTTCTTCCCACTAGAAATGTTGATTTTCTCTAAGGCACCAGGTCCCATGTGTAGCAACCTGCAGTCACCCAGAGCAGAGCTGGCCCATCAGCCAATGCACTCAATCCCCTCTGTCCTTTACTTTGTTTGCATTTCTTTTCCCTTGCCATTTTCCAAGTGGAGAGATTCTCTAAATGAAGTACTTAAACCTATCTCTTATAATGAGCTAATATCTACTCCATTATAATATATCCAAATTTTATGCAATAGGAAACAAGGTCCGGCAGCAATAAGCTATTTGATCTAACGTGAAAAAGTAATGTGGAGCCTAACAGCTTATTATTCAGTGCAGTGCAATAAATTAACTGAGCAGCATTTTGCATGATGAGAGCCTGATTATTCCTTTTACTTTCCTTTGGATTGGTTTGGATGGATTATGATTCTCTTCAGAGTTAATCAGGTTTATGTGAAACAACTTCTTTTTAAAATGTATCCCATTAAAGAATGAAATAAGGGAGAGAAAACATGTGCCATCATCTTGTGATTTGTGTCTGTAAGGCTAGTCCTTTGGAAGAGAATTCCCCAGAAAGAAGAAAATTTTGTGACCACTGGCTCAGCAACTGTTCAATTAAGGAGAAACAAATGTTCCTGTCCCAAGCCAGCCCCTTTCCCACTTTCTCTCCATAGATTCCTGCCATTTCCTTGGTTTGATTTTGCAAAGTACAGTTGCCTTTTGTTCCCTGAGGGAGACTGGTTCCAGGACTCCAGTGCTCAAGTTCAAGTCAACTGGCATTGTATTTGCATATAACCTATGCAGAATACC